TGTCGATGTATCGGTCATATGGCCCAAGTGATGTAAGTATTGCGACCTTGCTCTAGCATCACCGGCATGCAACCCAGTCTGTGTGGTACACAGGGTTCAAAGCGGACGTCGGGAGTCTATCGTCATCGTTGTGAACAGGCGCGGTTGGAACAAGGAATGCCGAGGTATCCCTGACTGGCTGTGAGGTCAGTCAGTAGCTCACCATGGCAAGTAGTTGCGTCAAGGCTATGAGGAATGGGCATGAGAAGCTGCGGCGAAAGCGAAGAAGCTGAACAACATATGAAGAGCGCAACTACTGAGAAGATGATCGGGACATGACTGCATGCCTTGATGCGTGATGTGAGAGACCCATGGGCGGAACAGCAGTTGGTGGGAGCCGGCGCCCTTCCGAGAAACGATTGTTGACGCAGCGCGTTGCGGGCGGAGGTTGAGGGTGCAAGCGCGCAGGTGGGCGGGCCGAGGCGCGTTAGGGGCTCCTTCCTGGGCAGCCTGCAAGCCACCAAGCCCATCTTCGGGCGGCTGCATCGCCACACCTCTCCACCCCACGTCTCCCAACGGCACCTTATTCATGGCCGCTCCAAGTCGCGCCGCTGTCGCATACACGCAGCCACTTTATTGGGAGTGCGACAGAATCTCCACGCGTTCCGAAGAGCCGTTCTGACACCTGGCTATACCCGAGTACGGCCAACGGCGACGGCAAGGCGGTGCGTGTACTCCTGTGACCACCGATTTATGACGCGATCTAAAAGCATTCTCCGCTCCAGATGGTAGCACTTGGCGGAATGTCGTCAAACCTCCGAGGCGCTCTCAGCATCAGGTTCACTCGCAGGTTGCCTAGCTAGCAAGGCGGTCGGACATCGTCCTGAAGAGATGCTCAATCAGCGCCTTCCCATGAGAACCTTCAGCCAGACGTATAACCAGGCCATATCCATGTGGAGCTTTACTCTAGCTGCAATGTCTTCGATTGCCCTGGTCTTTATTCTGGAGGACATCGCGGACACTGTCGACCAGCGTCGCAGGTCTTGTGTGCATTGCGTGAGACGCATACGGCATGCGCTCTGCCTATGGAACTGTCACGACCGATGGAGAATCACCGTTTGCGTTTATCATTTGCATCGTTTGGTTGATCCACATTAACATTATGGTATAGCTACAGGGCTAGCTACTGTAAAACCCCTCATTATCTAATCCACCGCTCGTTTAAACGCTTCCCTCCTTGTCCAAGTCGGCAGTGGCAGTGCCGACCTGGCTGAGGGCAATAGGGATAGGTCCGTTCATCCTGACCATGAAGTCGCCCACCATGGAAGGTCTAAAGTTATGTTAGCACGCGTTCTCCCCACCGATAATCGCTCGAATAACTCACCCGTTAAGAACGTGGGCCAATCTCAGATAGATGCCGCCCTCCACCTGCAAGACGCGGAATGTGTATGAAGAGTCGTCGCAGCTGTAGACGGTATCGACCTCGAAGCTAGGGTTGGCAGCGCAGTGGACGTTGTCAACGTGTTGAGAGTGAACGTAGAACGAGAAATACGTCGCGTCGCGACCGCCATACGAGGCGTTGTTGACGGTGACTGTCTCGAATTGGTCCTCCTGGACGGCGGTGGGTGCGGCGGCGGCAATGCCGGCAAAGATGGCAGCGATGGTGGCGAACTTCATGATTGATTCGTGGATTGGTAGCGAAAGTGGGTGAAGTGAGTGAAGCTTGTTGTGAAGAGATGGATGGATGCTGTGTAGTGAGTACTTGACGGAAGCCCTTCAACGTTTATATACGCAGGTCAGCCAACGTCCGCCGTTGTCTAGTGCAATGACAAGCTTTCGTCTATTTCGGGGGGCGTCAATGCGGCTGATGCTTGTGCTTTCGAAATATCTATACGGGGTTACATTGGAGATTGGCGACAAGGAAGTGCACCGCTGAACGGACGTCAGACTGAAGACGATTTATTGGTAGCGGCGCTATACCTCGCTTTCGTGTAGTCCTTCCTTGCAGACTTGTGGGGAAGGGGCCCTCAAGCTAATCGGCGCGAGTAGGTTTGTTTACCGCCTCGTTTCTCGAAGCCTTGCAGTCATGCCACACCGCAAACGTCCATCACCCGCCGCGATTTCGATGATCATGTCGTAAATATATCGGGCGAGCCACATTATCTCGTATCGTCGAGCAGCGGTGCGAAGGGAGCCAGCGTTGACTCTTCGCTGCACCCGCGCAGACTTGCTGTCAACCCCAGAGTCTAGTGTCGAGGCTACTCAACATATGTTCCGTGAGAGATTGCATGCAGAGACAATCGTCTTACGGCTTGAGAAGCCGTCAACCTCATCTTCTAGAAGGTTTCGTACGTGTTCTGCGAAGCTCACGTGAGTACCCGCCGGCTTTTCATCCGTAGTACGGGTTCTTTACCCGTAGTACACAGCTCCCGGTCGTTGAATAACATGCAATGTCCGCGCTGACCCGATAATGCTAAACTTAGCATGTTAATACGGGGAATTCATGCGCACCTCCTAGGACCATCCGAATTATCGGCGCGACTGCCCGTTCTGTGGTGGATTCATGCGACGAAGCCGAACGCGAAGATGTTCGTGACCAGCACGCAGCAGGTTTACGTCAGTGGCCTGGCGGCGTTATCAACTTCCAGATGGGAAAGAGCTGCTGCGCTATGGAGTATCGCCTTCTGATCTTTCGTCCTCTGTGTCTTCGTCACTCCAGCGATACGTTGTAGATGTGAGTTCACTCGGCCGACGTTGTTACCACAACCCTTGCTACCAAAGCGCCGAATACCATCACACCGGTCAAGCTGCACGGTCGTACCCAAGTCATGGAAATGGAAGCGTTTGCCTTTCTACATGTACTTCGAGTGTTTCTTCCCACGGTCTCTTTCATCGCACGCCACTGTCCCACATCCTCGAAGCTGTCATTCTCTTGATGCAAACGAATGGCGACTATTCAGATGTCGTCGGGACTCGTCACGGAAGCCTTCAGGGAAACACACCAATGCGCAGGGTATTGATGCTTCGCGTCATAGGAATACCAATACAGCTCTCGTCTTCCTCCAATCGCGGAACACAACGCAACGGGATCCGAGTAGGTACACTTTCGGTTCTATGCGATGCGAGACACGACTCTTTGAAATCCTCATGCTAGCAGCGTGCAGTATCTGGTCCGGCTCTCTCAGGAGCTGTAAAGTCTCCCTTACAGCTGCAGCATAGCCCGTTCCCGTGAGCTCTTGAGACCTCGAAGCAAAGTTCCACATGAGCTCATTTGTTGACCACGTTGGCGACTTGCTGGACGTCAGTCGTGAGCACCTCCGCGGGCGCATTCCAGAAAGAGCCTTGCCCAAAATCGCTGATTTGACCGATGTACACTATGAACTCTATTCCGTTGTGAAGCTCGTTGTAGAGTTGCCAATAGTGATGCGATACAGAAGGCGACATCGTCGGAACTTGACATGTTGCGTGAGGATCGCAGCCTTGTGACGTTTGGTGCGGAGGACAGCTGGTGTGGCTTGGCTGCCTCGGCGGTACCTACCGCCAAGCTTCCTCGGGTCGTGGGGGTACGCCCATGTCGATATCACCAACTTGATCCTCACAGCGTCGCCTCCGTCTCCAGAATTACGTGCGATCCTCCTTCTCGCATCGCGCCTTAATGCTGCTCCGAGCGTACGTCTCGCGTAGCCAAGCCAGCTCAACATGATGCTCTATCAGCGCGCGCAACCGTCCACCGCTGCGCATCCTCCAATCAACTCCTCATCGCGACGTGAACGAGGGCGCCAGTATCTCTCACGATCCTCCAATTCCCTTACCTTAGAAAGAGCAGCGCAACAGTAGTATCCCCATCGCTATCGCTGTTCGGTATAACGTAAGCGTCCCCACCCGAGCGCTGCCCCAGGGCCCGACTGACGTATCGCAGTAGCAGATGTTTACTCATCAACGCATTCCCCATCCTGACGCCGGTCCCCGCATCTCTAATCCCATCCTATGACACGACCGCACACGATGTCGGCAGACGCGCACTATACCATTACGAAGACTCGCTTGAAACCCATCCCAGCACGGCGCCACTCCGCCTCTCGAGCGGTAATGTATGCCTGGGACGGCCCGCTGGTGCTAGCATCCCATCGAGAGATGCACATAATCTAGGACAAATGTGTTTAGCATGTGCGCCGTATCAAGTACCACAAAGGTGAACAATGGCTGCGCAAGCTGTTGCGGGACATGGATACGACGACACGCGCATTCGCGCTCGCTTGGCTGACACGCGCATTCGCATTGTAGAGCGCGTCGTTACTTCCTCAACCCAATGTTTCTTTATCACCATTGGGCTTCTCGCCCTGCACGCGTTCGGCGTCGATATCGGTGGAGGGCTGCGACCTTTGCCCGCTTCGTCGCAGACATCATGCCGCAGTGACATATACTTCTCCTACCACCCTCAAGCGTCGTCCGTTCGAAGAAAGCACTAGATCGCTACTCCCAAATCTGATAGTCGTACCTTGCACACAGATTCCATGCACGAGCGCGCGCGACACAAAGCATTTGCCAAGCGCAGCAGTCCTTGGTCAAATCTACATGGAATGAGTTGTCCACCGCGAATCGTGGCCGCCTGGATATGTACAGGAGTCGCTTGAGCTTGAAACCGGCTCGAGTTTGTCGTTCGTACGGTCGCGGAGGGCGCTGCGCCCTTTGCTTATGAATCTGATCCACAAGCGAGGTGCCGCCTTACTCTTTCCGCACATCCTGCCCTGGTGAGACCACGTCGCGCGGTGTCGATAAATTTGTTGTAACTTCGCATCTACTTAAGCAAGCTTAGGTCGCTGTCGCCTTCGAAAGGAAAACCCGTCACTACCTGTCTTGAGGCTCTTCACGTACGACTTCAGGACCCTGGACGACAAGCACGCAACACGATCTACACACGATGACCACCGCAGATCACCCTGGTGTAAGGATGGTGCAAACCGATGGCACCCATTCCCTTGCGCTATACACCCACGGCCCGGAACCGACCGATCCTCATGATGCGGCGGTACTGTTTGTCTCTGGTGTCGCAAGCAGCAGGCTTAACTGGTCAGCCGTCGTGCGACAGCTCTCCGCATCCATACGCTGCTTCACCTACGATCGCGCTGGTTACGGGTTATCCGACAGCGCTCCGTACCCACCCACAGCCGAGAATATTGCGTCAGATATCCAATACCTTGTCGAGAACGTTCCCTTCGAGAATCCTCTTATCCTCGTCGGTCATTCTTGGGCCGGCGTACTGATCAACGAATTCATTGCGCTGACAGGGAATGGACATCACATTGCCGGACTGGTACTTGTCGACGCGAACCACGAGACAATGCCACAAGTCTTGAACGTCAACGACCCGGATCTCCAAGCCATGTCCGAGGGCATCAACCCATACATTGCCAAAGGCATTGCCGCAGAACACAAACTGACGCAGCAGGAATGGGACGCACTTATGGCTGAGGAAGCGACCGAGAAGTACGCGGCGATCGCGCGCATGGAGGAAGATGAGTACGCAGCAAGCTTCGCGACGCTGCGCGACAAGAGATTGAGTGACCGGGAGCCGCTTCTCGGGAAGAAGCCTGTGTACGTTATTGGAGGCATGCGAAGTCGGGATTGGGATGGCATGTACAAAGCTGGAGTCGCAAAAGGAAATGGGAGCGAGGAGCAGAGGCGTCGGGTACGCGAGTTGATTAGCACGGCGGACGAGAAGAGCGAGAGCCTCATGAGGCGACATCTTCAGCTCTCTTCGAAGACCAAACTTGTGTTCGCGCGCGAGAGCGGCCATTTCGTCCAGATGACGCAGCCTGAGGTCGTAGTCGAAGGCGTGAAGTGGGTTGTTCACGCGCGACAAAGTTCGTAAAACATAGATTACTAACAAATAATCTTTCTCTTTAACTTTGTTCTAGATAAGTAAAACTTACTTTAGAGTTAATACTATATATACTATATATATACTACGTCTATAAGTAGATTTATAAGTAAACTAATTCTATAGCGTAAACTAGTCTAAAAAGAGTAAGATCTATTACTAGTATAAAATCTATTATTACTCTATTCTTTATACTTTATTAGAAGTAACTACTATACTTTATTATTTATAGTAAACTTTGTATATTATAGTTAGTATACTTTATAAATAGAGTAAGTTACTCTACTTATAAAGCTTTCTAATTCTTTTATATTACTTATATTACTTTTTATATTTATTTTCTTAATTATAATAATAGTAACTATAATTACTTTACTTATAGAGCTCTTAAGATTATAATCTTAGAATAAAAGTATAATATCTAGTTAACTAAATTAGAAAGCTATCTAATTAGCTATAAAATATAATTATAGTAATTATAAAAGTTAGCGTTTTAGACGTATAGAGTAGATTAATATAATATATTATATTAGATTACTACTATAGCTAGAGTCTAAGTCTTAGTAAGAAATATTAAAACTTTAAATAAAAGTAATATACGTATATACGTATAGTATAATACTTTAGATAGAAGTAAATATAATATTATAAAAGCTTTATATACTAGCTAGTATAAACTTCTAAAGCTTATATAGTTTTATACTTTAAAAAATCTAGTTACTACTTTTAGTATTAGCTAGAAGTACTACTACTACTAGGTCTATTCTAGTCTATTCTAATTTTAATATTTAAGTGTTAAAGTTAGAAAGTAGTTATAATTACTTAATTATAGATACGTAATTACTTAGCTCTTAGGTATATAGCTAGAGATTTTATTCTAACTTTCTTTTATAGTAGATTAATTATAATATACTTAATTATCTCTAATTATTAATTATCTCTAGCTCTAATAGTTATAAGCCTAGCTACTTAATTATAGAACTAATTTCTACTATATATTAAAGCTTACTAGAAGATAAGATTAGTTAATCTTATTTCTACTCTACTCTCTCTAAATATTCTATAATTAGAACTTCTTTTACGTAATTACTTACTTACTACCTACTTCTCTATATCTTTATATTAATTCTACGCTCTAACTCTATAAATATAAGTAATTATAATATAGCTATTATAGCTATAGGCGTGCTTCTTAAGAAGTAATCTAACTAGAATACCTAGTTTACACTTTTTAAGTAATACTATAATAAAAAGAGTATCTAGAAAGAGATTAATTCTAATCTTCTAGATATTAAATATATAGATACTTAGAAATCTAAGTTCTCTAACCTTTTAGTTCTAGAGCTTATAGCTCTAGCTTCTTTCTCTATAAAGCTAACTAAGAATTAAAAAAATAAGTATAATAAAGCTATTTATAAGTATAATACTCTCTTATAAGATTATAATTATAAGACTAAGAATAGTACTACGCTTATAGCCTACTAGAACTATAAGTCTAAGTAGTAGTTAAAAAAAAGTAAAAAGATTAATAATATTAAGAACTAGATTATATACACTATTACACTAGATTATTTATTACTTATAACTATAAGTAATAATAGAAAAATAGTCTAGTCTCTTATAAAGACTTTTAAGACTATACTTACTTCTACTAATTAGACTATATAGTATATAGTTTACGCTAAGTATTATACTTATCTTAAGAAAACTTAAAGAAGTACTACTAAGAAGTAGTTTACTAACTAGTTAATACTCTACTAGAAAGTAAAGATCTTTAAGCTCTTAGAGGTTAAAGAACTTTTTATAATTACTAACTTTCTTACTATAATTAAAAAGTTTAATCTAAAGTAAGTCTACTAGTAGTAATATAATTAATTATTTACTATAGCTCTTAGAAAGAACACGTTAAGCTTTAGTAATCTTAGTAAGGTATTTAGCGTTATTCTTTAAGAGATATTAATTACTACTAGAAAGAAAAAAGCTAATATAATCTTTAACGCTATTATAGATTAACTTTCTACTTCTACTAAGTTAGGTAAGAAGTAGTTAAGCTTACTACCTAAGCTTTACCTCTATAAACCTAACGTAAAGTATAAATAGAAGCCTATCTTATATTTCTAATTATAGACTATAATTACTAGATCTAAGCTACTAGATATTCTACTAATAGAACTCTTAGCTTAAAATAAGTAAAAGATCTAAAAGCGCTATTATAAAGAGAAGTAAAGTAGCTTATATAAGAAGGTTAAGTAATCTAGCTAGAAGATAAGTACTCTAGCTTCTAAGTATCTAGATAATATAGTCTTAATAATTATTTACTTAAAGAAGCTAATTACTAAGTTTAGATCTTTTATCTTTAGTATAGGCTTTAAGCCTTACGTACTCTTAGCTAGTATAATTTTTAATAGTAGAGCTATAGTCTACTTAGTTAATAATAAAGCCTTAATTAAGCCTAGTTTCTTTATTAAGACTAATAGAGAAATAGTAGAAGCTAGTAGCTAGATTCTTCTAGTAATTAGTATTAGTAATTACGTACTTTATCTTATTTTTAGTACCTCTAAAAGACTTAGAAAAGCTAATCTTATACTTACTAGCGTTAAGATTATCTTTAGTTTCTATACTAATATTATCTTAGAGAAGCTTCTTAGAAATAGTAGTATATAGTATATAGGCTATAATTGTATAATTAGAATAGATACACTAGAGACGTTTATTATTCTTATAACTTTTAAGTATAGATTTAACCTTTTATTTATTAAATATAACTTTTCTATCTATTCTTCTAATTCTATTATTATAAATACTATTATCTACTTATAAGTTCTATAATTACGCACTAGTAACGCTAATCTTTAGTATTAAAGATCTAGCTACTTAGGTAAGTAAGCTTTTAAAGCTTTTATTAAAGCTACTTAGAATATAAAAATTATAGATATATAGTATAGTAAATGTAATAATTACGCTACTACTTATATATTTTAAAGAATCTTTTATTATTCTTATAAGCTATTACTATATTCTTTCTTTAGAGTATTATAAAACTTATTTAACTTTTCTATAAGCTATACGCTTAATAAATAGGCTCTAATTATTAAAAAAAATTATTTAGATAAGCTATATAATTATAATCTAAAGAATAAAACGCTAGACTTTATAATAGAAGTTATTATAAGCTTTATAGCTATAGTTAAGTACTACTATTAGTAGAAGATTATAGAAATCTATTAGAATAATAATACTATAATATTACCTTAGAGAGAGTACTTAAGATATAAGAAATAGGCTAAAGAGAAGAGAATTATAATTATAATACCTTTACTATATATTTATAAGTCTAATAGCTTAGTAGAGAGAGCTAGCTAAGAGCTTATTACTAAGTTAATTAAGATATATATAAGCGCTAATCTTCTAACTAAACTCTAGCTAGTAATTATAAATATAGTAGCTTAACTCTATAAAATAAGTCTATTATAGCTTTATAGCTATTAATCTCTAGATTAGATATTATATAAATAGTTTAGAAAGTATTTCTAATATTATTAGCTACTTAAGATTAGGCACTAAGCTACTAATCTTTACCTAGATTAGAGTAGAATCTATACTTATAGCTATTAAGTGTATCTACTTAATAGTAATTACGTAGCTAGAAAATACTATTAAAACTTTAAAGTTAAGCTTTATAGCTATATAGAATATCTTATTAGCTATTAAGCTTCTAATATATATTATATATAGGTACTAGTAATTAATTAGATAATTATAACTTATAATATTACTTTTAATAAATAGAAGTTTTATTAAAGTAAGTGTAAAGAGAAGCTAACTAGAGATTAAGTAATTAAGTAGATTAAAATACTTAATAATAGTAAGCTTATTAATTCTATAGAGAAGTTTAATATTCTTTCTATTAATTAAATAGTAAGTATAGTAAAGCTATTAACTACTAAGTAAGATCTTAGAAGTAATATAAGCTATAATTAAAGTAATAAGGTTATCTTATCTATTAAATATAATTAAAGCTTTATTAATTTAATAGAGATAGAATATAAAGCTAGTGTTCTATTAGAAATTTCTAATAATTAGTAGCTTTCTACTAGGCTTACTACTCTAGAACCTACGCCTAAGTGTAAGATTTTAGAGATAGGTAATTAAAGTAATTATAGAGTTTCTAATAGTTAAAAGATAGTATATACGCCTAAGAGAGCTAACCTATTAGAGTCTAGAGGTAGAAAGCTTTTTATATATAGATTAGAAGATCTAACTCTATCTATTAAGTCTATTATAATAGACTCTAGTTCTATAGAAATAGATAAGAAACTAGCTTAACTAGAGTAAGCGCTAAAAAGACTAAGAGATAGGCTATCTAAATTAGTAGCTTTCTCTTAATAATTAATATAGCTATAGAATTAGCTAATAGCTAAATTCTCTAGAATATACTATAGTAGAAGAGTTATAGATAAAGAGTCTAAGCGCTCTCTTTTTATAAATATCTATTAACTATTAAAATACCTAAAAAGTAAGAGTAAATAGTCTACTTAGCTTAGTAATTAACTAAAAGATAATAGCGTAAGTAGTATAAATATAGTAATTATAGGCCTAGTTAATAAGTAAGTCTAGATTAACTTTTATAAGACTTATCTCTCTAGTTTTTAAAAAGACTAAAATAATTAAGCTAGCTATAAAACTATAAACTCTATTATTATAGCTACTACGCTTAGTAAGTATAAGCTAAAGGCTACTTACTAATACTATAATAATTTCTAAGAGCTACCTAGATTATAGAAATAACTAATCTAGTATCTAATATATATACTCTTTAAAGATACTTCTAAGAGAGAAATTAATTAGCTAAGTAAGAAAAGAACTTAGATAGAAATTTATAAGTTAAAAGCTTAAAATTAGCTACTTCTATTAAAATAGGTATAGACTTATAAGTATAATTAGAATAGCTATCTTCTTA